CAGCAATCTCTCAGCATCCATCAGTGCCTGAAAGTGCATGTGCAATGAATTCAAAGTCAGTGTATAAACACATGTGCGCATGCATTTGTGTGATGTCTCTTCCTTCTTTCCCTTCATTCCGTCCTTTCAGATTCTTGCCTTGGAATCTGCTGGTGGTGCTGCTTCCACTCCAAGCTGGCGCAGTTCAAGCATAGAGAATTCGTTCAGTTTTATTGAATCTGAGATGAATCTGATGCAGGTCGCTAGTCAACTTCGCAGGAACAACTGTCAGCTTACTGGCGGTGGTCAGCATGTTGAATATTGCATCCTCTCGTGACTGGCAAGTTGGACGTCTGACCCACATGCAACATTCTAGTAGTCAAATCATCCTCATCGGTGTGGAAGTCAGCATGAAGAGCAAGGGCCCGGAGCTGCGCCTGAGTGGAAGCAGTCGTTCCACCAGTCTTCTGGGTCATACACAAAAGAAGTGGGGGTGCTGTTGCACAGGAACCGCTCTGCCTTTCCCTCTACAGTATATGAATGTAACACTATTTTAAGCCGTATGGTCCTTCTTCGTGTGCAATGCATGCATGTGTGCCGCGTGGATCTGGGAAACATGACACCATGCCACAGCTCATTCCAGACTGCCACAGCTAAAAACCCTAAACCACTAAACCTAATCGCAATGGCCCCCACCCTAAGAGCGATGGCCTCCAACCTACTTGCGATGGCCTTGACCCTATGAGCGATGGCCTCCACAGCTAGTACATTGTGGAAGTGGAATGAGCTGGGCTCGCTGCGCTATCGTTTTGCTATGCTTTATGATCGTTTTCGTGCCTTGTACAAACATAAATTTCTATGCACACACAATATATCATCGGTTTAAGGGTCATCCTTCTGGCAAGACGGACATGCGACGATGACATTCTTGAATGGAGGGTCCTGTGCTGTACTCCCTCACATGGGTTCTGAATGTCTGCAAAATGCAACTCTTTGCCCCATGCATCGGAAACTAGTAGCTTCCTGTTACTACCAGTAAGGCACCTGGTACTACTAGCGTGGCACTTGTTACTAGTAGCATCGGATGGCAATCGCTGGTCTTTCGCACGCAAACCGAGGTCCACGATTGAATGCATCGAATTTTCGCCTCTGCAGCAACAAATTGCCGTAGCTCATCATCTCGGGCTGCCGCCTAGGATCCAACGACTCGACGCAAAGGTTAGGTTTCATGTTTTGCTTTCTTTGTAGCCTGACGGGGGGGGTAAGAGATAGTTAGTAGGGAGAGGTAGCTGCTACCTGCAAGTAAGCTACTACTGACAGGACGCAGGACAGCTCACGCTTCTTCACTTCCTTGAAGAAGCGCTCGCACTAATGATATGGTTCCTAGATTCTTAGGTAAACCTAACACAAAATCAAACTCTGTGATATTTTATCAAGCCATTCTGGAGCTACTGCATCCTGTGCATCGGGAGGCAAGTCGAAGCTTGACAAGGCCCCGGCTGCAGCAAACGCTGCGGCAAGCCGAAGACGTGAAGCATTCGGGGCACTTTCATCCTGAGCTTTGAGACCAATTCCTTCACTTGGAAGAACCCAATGGAAATACCCTGAGACCCTGGGTCGTATTCACAAGGCCCTTGAGTGTCATGCTGTTCCAGCAAAGCCTGAAGGTTGTGAGCGTCTTTTGTGATGAAAACCAGCACACAAAGGACCAACCTCCTGCATGTCCAGGAGCAAAGAGCCAAGATTGCCCACTTAGTGACAGAGTGAGCGAAACGAGGTTGTGATTTGATGCAAGTAAGTATATAAGCAAACTTGCTAGACTTGTTTGGCGAAGCAAAGCTTGGCTTCTGGCGCATGCATACCAGGCTCGTCCAGATGGGGAAGAAGGAGAACAAAGCTTCTCAGTATTTGCTGATGGTGATGACCCGACAAATTGAAAATACGTACAATTACCAAACAAGTGGGCGTCTGAGTGTTGAAAATGCGTTGGGATCTGAAAATGCCTTGCATATACTGTTCAGTTCAACTGGGCCTGAGCTTCCATAAATCTGGGACAGTCTGCGGCCAAGTATATCCAAGCATTGGAACCAAGATGCACCAAGCAGCTGTCAACTTGCTGGCCAAATTGCGGTCTCGACTCAACCCATTGTGGTCGCTATTCTTTGCAATGCGGTCGCTGGTGAGAACAATCGATCGATGGCGGATGCATTTTCACTACATTATCGCTGTGGATGGGCGTCTTCAACAGGGTGTTTTACAGTCTCATGGATCCTTATGGATTTGAAATCAGGTCTTCAAAGCCCTCACACTCCTACCACAGCGCCAAACTTTGAACAAGATTTCCACATCCATCCTGCACTAGGATTCAGCTGGAAAATGGCTGGCACAATGCATGTTGCGATTGTGCCCAAAGTGATGGTCTTCCCTACTTTTGAAGTGTGCTTCTTTCGGCCAATAGCATGTATATAGATTTCCTAGACTTCAAGTATGACACCTTACCATACATCAATCTGTATCTGTATATGTGTCTGTATTGCATATTGCTTCTCTAGAAAACGTGGAGGTTGTTCTTGCCCTTCCACTCTTTGCAGAATGCGGCATGAAGGGACCAAGACCAGTCCTGCCGAAGTACACTCCACAACTCTAGAACTTATATCTGTCCTGTCACTTAGCCTCTCGCATCGCACTTCAACTTGAAACCCTGCAAACGATCAATGCACCAGTCGATTTCAACGAGGCTCTCCTCGGCTAACTTGATCTCTGGTTCCAACCGCTCTCTTCTTGCTTGGTAGTTGGCTTTGTCTTCAGGAGTCAATTCAATCTTTGCCATGTCCTCCTCTAGCCTTCTCATCATTGGTAACTTGAAGAATGACTCTGAAAAGAGTTCCACTTGATCGCACACTTGAGATCTGATGAAGCTGTAGGTGTGCAGCACAAGGATCTGGACCTTGTCCACTGCTTGGTCAATCTCGTGGGGTTCGGCTGGGATCTTTGTAAGCCAATGTGAAATGGCAACTTCGTTGCCACTTCTGCTTTCGATCTCCCGAGGAATTCGATTCTTGGTGTCATCAAAAGAAGGCAGCATTGCATCCTCCAAATCACCAGAAATGGCGGGGATCGTGGTGGCTCCCTTCAAGAAGACCCATGGATTTGAAAAGGTCGATGTCAGCATGTTTTCAAAAAGTTCCACAAACTGGCGAAGCTGTCGACCACAGGTTTGATCGTAGGTCTGCCAAACAGCATGCTTGATCATGGCATTCTGCTTGATAAGCTTTGCATGCTTCGGGTAAAGTGGCGAGAACAAATTTGCTGTTGGTGAACCTTCAAGCTTCTCCATGAACTCCAATACAGCATCCTTCTGTATCTCGAAGAACCACTTGATTCGTTCCCCCACATACGCCACTCGGCGTTGCAAGGGTAAGTGTGCTTCATGGGATAAAAGCTTCACCACCACATCGCGCCATGTCAAGGAGCTCATGGAGACACCACGCGCCTGGATGACATCGCGCTTCTTGATCTCTACGGCGATTTCCGAAAAGCGAAGAAAAATCTCCACCTCCATCATCAAACGGCGAAACTGAGCACCACCGTTCACCTCCACATCAAATGCACCAATCTGGATCTCGTTCCTAAGGTAGTCAATGTAATCCTGCAGGGAACAAAAGTCTTCCGATGGCAACAGGCTGAAGTGGTTGGAACCCAAAGTAGCATGGTAATGATGGAAAGCACGAAGCTCTTCGTCCAGGTTCATCACTGGCTGTAGGTCTAGTACACCTTCCATGACATGTGTCAAGGCAGTGGCAAAGGAGATGCCACAGTCACGGGTCGTGCTGAGAATACGGTGTGGGTCTGTGTCATTGTATTCGGTTTCAAGATCCTTCTTCTGATTCGAAGCAGTGGATTTCAGGTCCTTCAAGTTTGTTAGAACTGGATCAATGGCTTCAGCAAACATCTGCTCGATTTTCTTCTCCATGAATTTCACAAAATTCTTGAAGCCGATTGTGTCCATGTACATGTCACTGAGACCTTTGGAAGCCATCTGGTTCTTGTCATTTGCATCCATCTCGTCCTTGATCTGATTGAATGGCTTGGGCATGGGGCTTCCATCATGCCACCAAGGGAGTGTAAGTGCAAACCTCACCAAGGAGTCAGGCAAGTCTCCAAAACCATCGACCCATTTGCTCACGTTGTCAGGTGTCAAGTCATTGTAGTACTTGTCCAACTTGTTTCTGATGAGAATCGTTCTTTTGAACTCTGGGTCCAAGCTGCGGCACTTTGCCAAGGTTGACATTGTGGCAGCATCACCCGCCTGCTCAACACAAAGCATTACATTCCGTTTGTCTTTCATGAAGGTCATGACCATTGTCTCGATCTTGTCAGCTAGGTCTTGCTTTCCTGTATCAATTGCAAAGTCCCGAAAGCCCGGTAGATCCACGATTTGCATGTCCACACATGCACTGGACTCAATGCGGACGTAGATGGCCTCATGGCTCACGGATGCTCCACACTCCTCATGCGCATCTCCTACGATCTTCATCACCTGATCAATGGGGTATTCCATCCAATGGTTCGTCTTCCGGTCACGCACAAACCATTTGGAGATGGTGTAGCCTGGTGCATGTCGGAACTCCAAGATGGTTGGCCTTCGACTTCCCAAGGTGCCTGAGATGAAGTTGAAGCACTCTCCGGCAAGAGCCTCAATCAAACGACTTTTGCCCACCGATTGTCTTCCCAGCAAGATGAACTGGGGCATGGGGAAATCCACAATTCCAAGCTTGTCCTGTACTCGAACTTTCACATCTCCAAGCACATTAAGCAGTTCAGACTTTGCCCCCACAGACGACATGCTGCGTCACTGCAGGCAGCGTCGTTCTGCTAGGTGTCATCAACAACTCGGCTTGTCAAAACATGCTGCGGGGTCGGCAAATTTGATCGATTTCTAGTTCCTCAAGCAACTGACTTGAAAATCTCTTACAGCAACAAAACAACAGAAATGAAACTACAAATTCATAAACGCCTTTTTGCGAGCAAGCAAACTTCTGTCTTAAGACACGATCGCAAGTTCATCCTGCAACTTGAGCAGCAAGTATTCGGTGGGAAGACACAAAGGGATGCGAAGGAAGCGTGGTAGCCACATGTAGCAACTGGCAGTAGGAAGGGGTAGCAAACAAAGCAGTTTTTCTTCGTAGGCAACATGGATTTTAACGTGTTCTTCAGCAAAAGCAGCATGTGAAAGGTAGTTGAAGTCCATTCCCGTCGAGTTTGGTAGAACACGGTAGCAAACATTGGGAGTCTTGTCAGGTGAACGGATCTCCTTCGCGGAGTCTTCTCTGCCTCCCTTCTTTGCCTGCGGCTCTTCTGGATACGTGTTTGAGGCGAACCACGAAAAGGAATCGAGTGCAATGTTTACGTATACGAAGGTAAGACCTGTAAATATCTCGCCTCTTTCGGTCTTTTTGAAGGCTCTTCTTGGCTTCCATGGGCACGTTTCTGCCCAACCTGACACGCTGCAACCAGCTCCTCAAGCCCTGCCTTGAGAAGGCATAGCAATTCAGCCTGCGTGGAGCCCTGCCCGTACTTGCGACAAGGACGCTTCGAGTAAGGGAACCGGGGCTTGCCATTTTTTCGCTGCAAACATCACCATTTAAGATCCTTGAAGGGTCCTGCAGATAGATGATTGATTGTATAGTTAGTTGTACAATGTTAATGTCAAGTTAATACGTTTACGGACCACTTGGCCAGCATAGATCCCACCAAATTAGGCAAAACACGGATGCACATTATACATCTTTATATACACCTGTCTAGGTGCATTGCTTTACGAGCGTTAGCTGCTTTTACCTCAACTTCTACTAAATCGTTTGTCGACCAGTGCTTCAAGGGCTGAGTGGGGCCTTCCCGCCTCCCTTCCTCCGTCCTTCCTCCTCTACTTCCTCCCCCTTCCTCGCCTCCTTCCTCCTTCACCTCTTGCCGAACATGGATCCAAGTTCCAAAGATTAAAAAGAGGTGAAGCCAACTGCCCTCCACCACGATTGACCGATTGCAGCCCATGCCTGGCTGGTAGAAGATGCTGAATCCAAACACTTCTTCCTGATGAGCAGATGTGATATGATGTGAAAAAGAGCAAAAAAGACTTGATGTCAGATGTGACAGGATCATAAGACAAAGCATAGCAAAGCATAGTTACTATAGTTCATGTGAGGAACAGGCCAAAGCTCTAGGGCCACCAGAAAGCGACGCATCCATGCCACCCTGTCAGCCTTGAAACCAATGATTGTGACCCAGAATCAATCGGTTATAAAACATGTAGGTTGTGTCTCTCAGAAACATGTATATACATAATTATACATAGACATCAATCACTGACACCCAAATTGAGTCAGGTTAACATGTTGCCAACCGTTCAATTAGCTAGTAATTTGCCACAGCCTTTTGACGGCACGGAAGTCAGCAAAAGAACTAAAGTTAGAAGCACATCTGCCTCCGTGACCGTCACTGTCACAGTCGGCGCCTTGACCTGTCAACCAAGCAAGGAGTGACACTGAGTGACAGACTTACACGTGCCTAGTCAGAGAGATAAAAACTGTTCTATAGCTTACAGCATTAATAGTACACCATGGGGTGGCAAATTCATAAATGCACATTAGTTTGCACCCAAGCATTCGCCAATGCAACTTGCCTGCGTTGGTGGCCTGGCACATATGTGGAGTAAAATCAAAGCATCTATCTCTTTGCACAACGTCTGACACCAGCTGACACCAGCTTGCCTGGAGGCCGATGATGAGCCTGCAGCAAACTCCCCTTTTCACTGCCCTTCTTTGAAGAGTTCAGGTCCCTCAAGCTCAAGTCTAAGGAAAGAATCTGCCTATCAGGGACTGCGGCGGAGGCTGCTGCATGGCTTCAAGGTCCTGTTGAAGAAGTTAGTGTAATTAGCTGATTTCAATCTTTCAATATCAATCTTTCTGGAAGGTGCTGGTGAAGGGGTCCCAGTGGCTGTGCCTAGTTTGAAAGGCCACAGAAAGGCTTGGCCACGCCTCACCTATCTACTGATCTGCTTCGAGTCAGCTGATTCGCGGAACAAATTCTTGAAGTCTATACAGTAATAGTCCAAATCTGTTTGATTCCACATGTTCCACCTCTGTTTAGCTCTAGATCCTAAGTCTTCATCTGACGTCCTGGCCCTGGCAGTCTTAAGAAACAATCTGATCGCAAGACTTCAGGCAAACAACCCCTTTCGTTGCGAATGTTCGCTTCAAAACCTTCTCGTTGCCAATACTTTTCCGCCTTTTTATTCCTCTCGACGAAGCTCAATCACAACGCAGCCTCGATACTGGCCGTTACGGCAAAGCAGTCTTGACTGAGAAGCAGCGACCTCAACTCCCGGAGTTGCCAACACCTTTGTTTGGCCAAGTGGGAAGTGAATGGAAGGAACCCAAAAAATTGTTTCTCCAGGCTGGTGTGCTTTGTATTCGCAGCGATACAAGCCTTTTCGACGATTAAAACTTTGGGAAACCGGGACGCCACAACATTTCAGCAGGTACGGTCGGATCAATGATGGTGGCGCACGACCTTCGTTGTTGGCAAAAATTGAGAGGTCTTCGCCATTCCAGAAATCCCCTCGCTCCTTGGAGTTTTCAGGTGTATAGTTCCACCAGCAATGTGGCAACAGGATCTCCTCCAACGCCCGCATATGTGCATCTGCTGCTTCATTTACCGCATCGATGCCTTCCCTGCTCGAAACGGGAAACCCCACATATTGAAGCTCAAAAGGTATGCCAATCTCACCCAGGATGCTTGGAACCTCTTGAGAGGAAAAGTCACATTTGCGCCGTAGTTGCATCTTGTAAGACTCCACTCGCTTTTCTAGACCAAGGACAGGTCGTACAGGCGTAGGGAGCAGGTTGAAAAGCTTCTCTCCAGGAGACTCCTCAATGCCAAAGTCTGGAGTCCACACCTTCCCTAGAAGGACAATCCCATCGTAAAAATGCGGCGCCCAGAAGGACTGTGGGTGCAAAGGACAAGGAAATGCTTCGGTGCTTTCTCTGCCGAAGGCAGGAGGACACACTCCAATCAACGCATCTGGCATTCTTTGCAGGATTGTCTTGGTGAATCTGTCCACGAAGGGCGCAAAGCACTGCTTCATCCAATTACATTGAAATCGTGCAGGATCTAAAAGCACATTTTGCCCATTCTCACGACGCCAAATACCTGCTCTTGCCCACAAACACTCTGAAGCCCACGCTCCCTGGCTGCTCCGTTCCATTTGCTGAAACGGGCTTTCTCCTCAGGATGCATCCACACCCATAATGTGGAAAACTCTAGAGGATGAAATCAACAATTTCGTCCTGTAGTGATGGGTCCGATGTTCCTCCGGCTCAAATCATCAGTTCCTCATCAAAGAATTTGGTCTGTACTGAAAAGAAAAGAAGCCTTGTCGACCCGCTAATAGCTAGTACAGTAGCAAGGAGTAGTGCTGTCCACTGACAAGAGATCTGCTTGCTTCTCTTACTACCTCTTCTGAGCTGGCGACCCAGCCATCCAGGGTGAGGTTCATTCAGAGTCTCGAATCCGAGCACCGCCGGAATATCATTCAATGTCCTGGCACGTTGAGTACACAGAATGTACAAGGAAGCACAAAAATTGGGAAGGACCAAACGCGCAAGGCAATGTCCTTGCAACCTCAGCCATCGCTCCCAGGAAGCCACCTTGCAAACATTCTTGAAGTGGTAGACCTGCAGAGGCGCGACTTCAGGCAAGCAGTGTTCAGATATTCTTTCCACCTCTGCATCCAGGTCGCATGTTGCTGAAAAATTGAAGAATATGAAAAAAGATTAGTTCATAATATCATCATATGTTCTCTGTTTGCCTTCCCGCTCTGAGACATCTTGAGACGTGATCCAGAGAAGGTTCACGATGGGATCCCGAATAATCACGAAGCAGAAACCCTGATAAAGGCAAAAGGCTAGAGTACAATTCACCAAGCCCGAATCACGATAAAGGCCAAGAGCTGCAAGTGAAAGAGATCGCGAAGCATGAAGGTTTTCGACTCATGTTCACGAAGAAGGAAGCACAATCATGAAGCACAGAGCAGAAAATAACGAAAACTGACGCCAATCACGCTACTGGATGGCTATCGTTGGACCACCACTCCCGCTTTCCCTCCTCACCCCAGTCCTGTCTTCTTACACAATTTGTCCCAATCCCGCACAACTCGCTACCGTTTTTCATTCAATCACAGGTGGCTGGGGTGCTGGGCCGCTCGTGTTGGGCGTCCAGCAGAGGGGTGAATCTGGGGCAAGGGTGCGGGCGCAGAATGCCGCAGCTGTGCCTTAAAGGGTCACAAAATGTAAATCATCTTGGTCTCCTGGTTCTTCGAGACCGCTGCTCAGGTTCAAATATTCGTCAATGTCTTTGAAGGGGAGCCATTGGAACAGCTCCCAAGGAATTCCTCGTATGTGATGATGCCAGCCTTCTGAACATCCAGCATAGACCACAACCTGCAAATGTTTCCACTGAATTTCGCAATCTTGCAGCCTTCTGTGAAGTCTTTAAAGTCAACTTGCCCATCCCCATATACATTGTATGCTTCCCAGGCAGACTCCAAGCTTCCAAATTTTGAGGCTACAAACTTGTGAAAATCTGAGATGACAATATTTCTTCGGGCACTGCTCCAGGTGCCAATCAAAGCGCTGGGCAAACAACCTAGGTTTGCCCCTGTGGCATTTAATTCATAAGTCACTCCTGTGAGTTCTATTTCATCACGATTCCAAACAGAGTCCCTCCAACAAAGGTGTCCTCCTGACAAAGAAGGAGCTATATCAATCAAGTGAAAACCACCTGATCGTGCTCCGGGGACCACAAAAGGGCAAGTAGCAGGAGGCTTGAAATCTGGAGGCAACTTGATTAATGGATCCCCTGGCCAAAGGTCAAATACCTTTTCTGAAACCATTCCCTGAAGCATCACTAGGCGTTGACTGCTCAAGTTGCATGCGAAAACTTGAACTGACTCCGCAAGAGGCAAGCCACCTCCGATAGCAAAACGGACTCCACCAAGATCAATAAGGCATCCACACTTGACACTCTCCACATACAGCCAGCCATCGCGAGCCACCTTCAACCTTCCCAGACTGAGGCCCTGTTCTTCGGGACCATCACAAAGCACTGCAAAGGTTAGCGTACCACTTGGAAGCATGGAAGGTGGCAACTGCGCTATCCGGACTCCAGGAGTGGCGTCCAAACACTTTACAAGTCCGCGGCAGAAGACCATCTTGGAACCAACAAGGCAACAACTCAGTTCACTGACTTTGCCCGCTTTAGTTGTGTCCATGTGTGTCCAATGAATCTCTGGACCAGGCTTCAGAATGGGCGACAATGAGTTCACATGGGCCCCGCGAAAATACGTGTCATCTGCAGCCAATTCAAGTGCCTGTATTGGAACCCATTTGAAAGGGCGATGCAAAGCTTTTGAGTTACTTGCACTTGCATGTTGATGCTGAGAAGCCAAGAACCCCGAAGCTACAGGATCAGGATCGTCCCCTTTAACATCTCCAACTGCCTTTCTTCGTCGATGTAGCCAAGATCTCAATCTAGAATCTTCAGGAGAAAAGCTTGGGCTTTGAGCTTGATGTGGGTGTGCACCGTGTCTGGGTGAATGATTCCAAGATTCGTAGAGTGAGGAGCCGTAGTTAGGTGGCAAGCGTCGAGTCCTGCGAAGGGTCTCCGGATTTTCCAGCACTGACATGTAGCAGGCTTTTTACGTAATAGTATATTAATGATTAATGATATAGTAATGATATAATGCTTTATACAACAGTATACCTAATAGCAATGGCCTCCAACCTACTAGCGATGGTCTCCAACCTCATAGCTATAAACAATACAGGGTCCCGCGAATGTCCGTTTCGTCTGTTTAACCAGCTTCAGCAACCCCGAAAACAGAGCCTCAATGGCACGCCATCCTTTACTTGCAAAGGCAATTCATGGCGTCGCATGAAGACAGCTCTGTATTCTGTGGAGCTATGTAGAGCTAAAATTTAAAGAATTGGCTCAAAGGACAACCAAATGCAACAAGTGCTTAAATGAAATTGTCCGTCTGCACAGTTCCAAAAGAACAGGGGTACAGAAAAGGAACACACAATCTAAGCTAGATATCTTGATGTGTGTCCGTTTGGCCTGATGGTTTTTGTTCGCTTCTGCTTGGACCAACTGCAAAAAGGTGTGGAATGCCAAGCTGGACGGCAAAGCTGCAGTGAGGCACTGCATGGCATCCAATGCCGTTGCAAAAAGCATCCATAGACGTGGCACAATGGATGTGCGCCTTGCAGTGCGTCTGTGATGCCTGGAGCAAGGCGATCGCCAGCCCAAAACAGGCCTGCCATTCGAGAGTCAAATCGAAGAAAAATAGATTTCGGAGCCATGCGAAAGGAAGAAGCCAGGTTGCACCTGACTGCGGCAAACACGAGAAATAATTTAAAACATGCTGGCAGTTCTAAACATCGTGGCGCTGGCCAATCGGTCATAGTTGGTTGGCCAAGACATTGAAGGGAGAGGATCTCCATTCTCTTGGTGTAGAAAAGCAGCTCCAGAAGTATGGAGTTCAGGGCCCACTTTGAAACCTGCTGCCTTCAATGCGTGGCTGCAAGGTATGGTGTTCATGGTTGTGCTGTCACAGTGACTCTGTAGTTGGTGTAGTCGTGTAGGGTCAATGAAAATTCTTCTTAAAAATATCTATATATGTCCTAATTCCTATCAGTAATATTTATCAAGCACAAAGGACTCCTGACCCCTCCATGTTCATGTTCTTACCATCAAGTTTCAAGTTCATCGGCATCTCAAAATAGCTTTTCCAGGATTTACTGTTACTAGCTTTCCTTTTCGCGACCTTGCCACACCCTGAAGATTGTCAAACTCAATGGTGACATCCAGATCTCTCCTCAACCCAATCCCCAGCATCTTGGTTCGCAAACAAACTGTGACAGTGTTTGTGACATTTTGTGACTAAATATACATGGTTTCGCGATATGTAGAATAATTCACATGGTTTCGCGGTCAGCGTTGATGAGCTGAAACACCATGGCCTCTAAGGTCCAACCAGGTGCTCCATCGCCACCAGTCCATCGTGACCAACAGTCTTGGTGGGGATCAATCAGGATCCAAAACCCCATTTCCTCTGCGCGCAAACAAACACTCCGCAGAAAGTCCAAATAGTCTTTATCGTACTCACCAGGACCTGCATGTTCCACAGCCTCCCATGTAATCACAAGTCGCAGTAAATTGAAACCCCAAGCTTGGAGCCTTTCCAAATGTCCGTCTAGCTCTTCAAGCTTGCAAGGGCGGCCAACGAAGGAGACATCACGATGCTCGTAAAACTTCGGCCCACCCAAATGCGTCGCACCATCCGGACGAGTGGGGACTTTTGAAAGTCCTGAAAAGTTAATTCCTCTGGGCAGCACAATTCGCTCTTCTTTGTCCACGAAATGGCCTCCAGCAATCTTCAGTCTGCCTGCAGAAGCGTGACGAGGAATTCTCCTCGAGCGCGAGATGAATCTTGCGGCTCCAAATACAACGGTAGCTCGCAAAATAGATGCGCGTAGGGCTGCTCTTCTGTCTTGCGAAGGCACCACTCTGCTTACATGTGAAGCAACAACAATACTGTGATGGACGAAGAAATTGCCCGGAGAAAGCATGGAAACTGTCAGGCCTTTCCCATGAGAAATCCAAGATCTCTCTCTGCTCGCGGCTGATCCCCGCAGGATGGAGATCATCTGGGGCTTGGACCAAAAATTACGAGCACAAAAATATGCGAATTGCTTGGAACATTCAATGATGCTTAGGCATACTGCACACTTTTGCTGTACAAGCAAACTTCACAGCATAAAAGATCACTTTTGGGCTGGGACTTTGCAGGCAAATCAATATGATTCTGCAACTTTGGGATCTACTGGCTCACGATCCTGAAGGTTCTTTCAACAATTGATTCTGTCCAACACCGCTAAAGCTAAGCATCAGGCTTTCAATAGTCTTTTTGAAGAATAGGCCATGTGCTCCGTGAAGAGAAACGCCTGCCATTTGACAGAGTATGCTAAGCTGACGCATGCGCAAATTCTCTTGTGCAATCTGCAAGTACGGCATGCATCTGCTGCATTGAGCTGATGGAAGCGCTTCGTTGCCTGCCATCGGAAAGATTGGGCATTGATTCCTATTGATGTCCCGTATTATTTTTCATTCCTATCGATTTCCTTTAAAATACCTGTTGATTCCAATTGATTTCCTTTTGAATTCCTTTTGATTCCTATTGATTCCTTTTGGATTCCTCTTGATTACTATTGATTTCCGTTTAAATTCCTTTTGATGTCTATCGATTTCCTCCTAAAATTATTTGCTTCCTATTGTTCTGCTTGGAATTCCTCTTGATTCAATTCCTATGGATGTCCTTTTACTGTAAAGTCCTTTTGATTCCTATTAATTTCCTTGTTGAATTCTTTGTAAATTCCTATTGATGTCCTAGTTGTATGTATACACCCCATATATATATATATACATCTTCAGGTTCATGTTCTGTGTTAAATGTTCTGCAGGTGATTGACTGGCTTTATACCAATTCCGACTGATTTTCAGCTATATATATATATATCTTTGAGTCCTATTGTTTTCTTTAAAATTCCTAGCGATTTCCGGAACGTCTTTGATTCCTAGTGATGTCCTTTTAAACTCCTTTTGATTCCTGTCGATCTCCTGTTTAAATGCCCTTTGAGTCCTATTGATGTCCTTTTTGAATTCCTTTGTAATGTTTTATTAATTTCCTAAGGTTATATATATATATATACACACCATATATATATATGCATCTTCAGGTTGGTATGGTCATTGTGCATGTTCTAAATTAAATGTTCTGCAGGTGCTTGAATGATTTTATACCAATTCCTAATGATTTCCTCTTAAATTTCTTTGATTCCTATTGATGTCCTTTTAAGTTCCTTTTGATTCCTATGGAAAATCGTTTATAGAGTATCAATTCCTATTGATTTCCTTATTTCATTTTGAACTTCTTTGATTCCTATTGATTCCCTTTAAAATTCCAGTTCATTCCTATTGATCTGCTTTTCAACTCTGTTTGATTCCTATTAATTTCCGTTTAAACTCCTGTTGATTTACTTCTAGATTCCTGTTGATTCCTGTCAATGTCCATTTATACAAATCCTTTTTGAAACCTATTGATGTCCTTTTCATTCCTATTGATTTCCTTTTCAACCCGTTTTGATTCCTATTGGTTTCCTTCTAAATTGCCTTTGATTCGTGTTGATTTCCTTTGAAAATCCTGTTGATTCCTGTTGATTTCCTTTTAATTCCTACTGAATCCTATTGATGTCCTGTTAAAGTCCTTTTGAATCCTGTTGATTTCATTTGAAGAGCCTTTTGATCCAGATTGATTTCCTTGTCGATTTCTTCTGAAATGTTCTATTGTTTTCCTAGTTGTATATACATATACATTTTCCTAGTTGGTATGGGCATGGTTCATGTTCTATGTTACATTACATGTTCTGCTGGTGATTGAATCATTGTATGCAAATTCCTGATTATGTCCTTTTAGATATTGTCGATTCCTAATGACTTCCTTTTAAAATCCTTTTGACTCCTATTCATGTTCTTTTTGATTTCCTTTGAACTCCTATTGATTTGCTAGTTATATATTACATAATCTATATATATATATACACACCTTTGTATACATCTTCAGGTTGGTATGGTCATGGTGCATGTTCTATGTTGTATGTTCTGCAGCTGGTTGAATGATTTTATACACATGTTCTAAGTATAATGACCAAAAGTCAGCACGCTGTGATTGATGTTCTAAGCTAACACACTTGTGAGAACATCAAGACTCGCTGCGTCGTTGTATATTCTTATATGTATATATATATTATATACATATTCCATATACTTTTAACATAGGGGTGCATAAAGACTTTGATGAAAGCTCTCCAGCGTCAAAACAATCGATCTGCAGCAATATTCAAAGGCCTGAAGCTTGCCAAGGACTTTGCCTCGCGTGCTCTACGACTTTCCAAAGCATCTGGCTCAACGCCTAGGTCCAATGATCCAATCCAACACTCTTGTCTTCCCCTACTAGGAGCAAGGACGCTACTAGTAGCTCCTGGCCTTACTACTAGGAACAAGAAGCTACTAGTAACAAAGGGCATCGCTACTAGGAGCAAGGACGCTACTGATCCATCAAAAATTGAAACCTCAAACACAGTACCACCATGTACCACCTCACCCGAAACTGCAACAGAAACCAACCCACTGTCCGGGAGGTTGTGATTCGACGGATTTGGCCTTTTTACTAGATGCTCTGAGCAAGACGGTTTGCGTGCACGCTTTTGTTTCTTTCCGCCTTCGTCTGGGACTTCCAAGAAGTCCAAGCCTTAGACTTAGACTCTGAACTCGCTACAAAACTTGTCTCATCTGGGTTTCTGGCTGTATTGGCCATTGGGGAGTGGTGGAAGACCAAAAACCTTTACAGCTAGGATTCTTCAAGAAACGGTTTCTACCCTTCTGAAGGGAAAGTTGAGGGCCTTTATGAAGATCTCCTTCGTCCGTGGCATGTGGAATGCGTTGTTTATGACGAGTAGCCTGTCAGCAGGTTGCTACGTAGCAGCTTTCAGGTTGTCAGGAAGAGCTGAGGAACCCACTTAGTCCAGCCAGCTGGATCTGTGTGCGTTGTCCTACATGGACGATGGCGATGAAATAAATTGCAGCAAGTTGCAAGCGGACATTGGCATCCAAGAATCCCGTCCGCAACATGAATGCATTGGCAATCCTCAGTAAACAGCTCAGTTCTCATGGCCAGTGTTCCTGCTCGATGCAAAGGACGGGAGCTTTGGGTGTTGCCTCTCAATTGTCCAAATTCTTGGGTCTGACTTTGACGATCAACCGTGGCGCTACTTTGGCGCTACCTCACAAATTCTTGGTCAAGCCGTGTGCTGGTCAGGGCTTAGATGTCAATCGTTTCACAGCAGCTGAGGGTCGTATCCAAGGACCAGTTTTCCTCGAATACGTCCTGATGTGTGCATAGGGTCCACAAATAATGCCTTTAATCACCAGAATGCTACTTTTCTTGAAACTTCTCAGTTCACCCGTCCTCTGGCGGAACCTTGTGCTCTCTGATGAGCCACCGCGCACCGCCCTGGGGAATCTGCGTGTGACACAAGTCTAATCACTGCGTTTTTATGAGCAAGTCAACAGGGTCAACCAAGGCACACCTCAGCCTCATAAACTTGAAATCCCGAGTGAGGATCACGTGGCATAGGCCTCACAAGGACAACTAGCAACATTGGTTTGAAATCGATTTGAACAATGCAAAAATGTGTTTGAAAACAATGGACAAATCGGAAGGACTTATGTAAAGGTAAACGGCTGGTTTCAAATTGTTTAAATTTACTGTAATTATATATATATATATTATATTGAATTTTAAATACAGTCTGGGAAGAATCTATGCTGTATGTGTGATACATGATAGTCTATCCGCTGAAGCTCTGTGGCCGTGGCTTGTGAGTTGTACCTCCGGAGAGCAACACCACCTTGGGCATGTGAATGTGCGAGGCGATGGTCAATGAAACGAAGATGCAAAACCAGTGGCACGCATGACAAATTGTTGATGATTAATGGCACAATATTGTCATGGTCCATATGGTCATCAAGGATGGGAGTCACAGGCTCAGATTCATTGTCAGCACCATCTTCTCGAAGTCTCAAGACTAGGCGCGATGCTTGCACTTTCCTGCCAGCCTTTTGTTGCTCAAAATAGACTCTTGCAGCCTCATTGCGGAGCAAAGTCCAATGGTATATGGTTCAAGGAAACGGTGTGCATCTGCCTCTTGTAGCCGCCTCTGTACCTAGATTGAAAGCAAAAATTGAGAATGACTGAGATGTGCTACAATGTTGAACAGTCCTGCAGGCCCTGAGGAAAGCACCCACTTCGTCGGAAGTCCATCTAAAGTCAAACCTCCACCTGGCACTACCACCTGGCAGAACTCCACGGATTCACAGGAGTGGCAGGAGGGCTCAGTGAAATAACATGCAATAGTTTCTTTAAACATCAAGTCCAAAAACCCAACAGAAAGTGCAAGCGCAGCAGGCACTTTTGCAGGTTGGTTAAGTTTCTCCTAAGTCTGTAACAAAATTTCAAGTGAACATGTATGTAAGTATGAAAACATGTCTTTTTCCAACACACACCTCAACGACCTGTCGTTCTTGCAGTAAGCCACCAACACTGTATCCCTCCTTTTTTCCTTCAGAGCTAAGTGTTGGTGGCTATAGATCTTTCCACCCTCTGGCATCTGTATCCACTGTCACAAGGCCTCACCACTTAGGGTGTGCCAGGACGCTTTTCTGCCGTTTCCGTAGGACGGACTGGCACTCCCGCCATTTCCGTAGGATGCCAGGACTTCTAAGGGTGTGTGTAGCAGGGGAACCCTTCTAGTTTCGCAGGGAGGGTCCTCCGGGTGCGCTACCCGGTGTGGCAAAATGCCCTCTCTGGAGGTCTGGGTGCGGCTCAAGGCTAGGAGCACTTGTACCGACCCCCCCTTTTTCGTTTCATTCCGTCGGGATGACTTTCAGCAACTCTGGCAGGTCTACTCCTTCCAGGTCTGACTCCGTGTCCACTGAGTCATCCGTATCTGATCCGGAATCCAGAGAGGAGTCCGTGTCCTGTGGGACCACTTGGACCTCTTGGTCCTCAGTTCCCCAATGAGCTGGGAAATCGTGGGCTTTGAAGCAGCGTTCGCATTTCCCAAATCCGTCGGGGTCGTTGGCAAAATCATTCGGATCTAGGTCCAAGACTGAACCGCTCTTGGGTCTCCAACCACAGCCCACTGCCACTCCTTCTGTGTTGAGGAGGTGGATTCTCAGCGTCTTATGGGGGCCCGAGGGCCCGCACAGAGTTGGTCGACGGTGCCGGCGCAACCACAGACGCCCTCCTGCGGCTGGAACGGACCAGCCAACATGTCCATGAGTTTCTCCTCTTCCAAGCTTGCCTTGATGCTGGAGGAGAAAACATCGACTGAGGTGTATATAATGGAGCAGCGCCATCAGCATAGGGAGGCTTGGCTGTGAGCTGCAGCTATTGTCCAGAAATCCACGGGACGCACGCCCTGGCCAGGGAGTGCAGAATCCGATGTCGGGGGCGGCAAAATAGTATCAGCCGCAGCCGCCGCCTCGCCAGAAGGTGGTGTAGGTGAAGAAGACGACATAGGGAACATCCCCCTCCGTCCAGCTTTCAGGGCCACGGGACATGAGCGCCGACATGGCCTCACTCGACTCTGCCAGCTTCCCCTGGAGTTCCTCAGGCATGGGGAGCTCATTCTTCACAAAACCCGCAGACACCACGGACTCCGTGTCATCCTTGGGAAGATGGGTCCCGCCAGGGCATCATCCAGCCGACCACCGACGGACTGCCTCTTCAACCAGGAAGATCTCCCTGTCCCTGGTTTCTGCTTCTGGAGGGGTCACAGTCTCGGCGCCATCCAACACAGACCAGTCAAAGAATTCTCCAGAGCCAGTTCCAGCCATGCCGATCAAAAAGGAGAGTAGGAGAGCGAATGCGGGAAAGTCTTTTTCACTTGGAATCAAGCTTGAGCCAAAATGGCAAGGCATTTTGGCTAATGGAATGCATTAAAGAAACATAACCTGCTTTCCACAGGTTCCAAGCACTTTCTAAGTATTCAATAGCCATTGCACACAGAATTGCAAGAGTGCGAGGAGGACGACCAGCGGCGGCTCCTGTCCTGGAGAGGCCTCAACGAAACTCAAAGGGAACAAAGCCCATGTGTCAGATCACACTCAAGGAACTCAGTTTTTGGGGTGGATTGCATGTTGCAGTTGCAGAACAAGGCGAGTGAGATGACTCTCAGCTTCACACATTAAACATATGGATCAGGAGAAGGGCAAGTCCTCCAAGCGAACCAGCTGCCAGGACGTACATCGGAGTCTTCTGAATCCTAGCGGCGAAAGGGTGAACCTGAACATGAATCCCGCATCATGCGTTCTTGGACGTACCAAAAAAATCAAAAGCGATCGTATGAGGACTGGCAAGTTGAGTCCAAGACACCTGAAGTAGTGCCACATCAGTCACATTCTTGGCACAGCATCTCACTTGCTCCATCGGTCATACTGTCATTCTGCATGCTGTCATGAATAGTTGCTGCATCCAAAACACTCCTGTCAAAGCGCGCTGAAGCATTTGCCACAGCGCAAACATATGGTTTGCTGACGTGGCTATCAACGACCTGCTCGATCAATGACATGTGTTCATGTTCATCTATTCTGTGTCGCTTTCTGCCCAACTCTTGAAGATCAAAACAGCTGCTAGGCTGTCTGGAAGGCTTGATTGTTGGCCAAAGCAATCCAAATGCAGAACTCCAAAGCACAAGCTCCCAGTTTGTCAAGCTGACATTGCCAGCCTGCACACTTGGGCCACGCGCTGCGACCCCAAAATCTATATGGGCAGGCAACCAAGGCACCCTCAACTAGGAAGGGATCATGGCAAGTGAGACCGGCGCATGAATCCCTGCCCTACCGGACAGCCAGTGGGCCTGCCTCAGGGAATTTGGACCACTGGAATGTTTAGGACAACAAGAGTGACCTTGTCAAGTACGAAGTTCTGGTCAACCAATACATTGAATACTTGCAAAAGGATGCAAAAGGCACGCAGCTCGCTCAAGCGAGTTCCAAAAAGGCCTTTGCCCAGTGGCAATTTCCCGAGGAAGCTCGGTTCCAAGGAGTTTATACGAAGTAATTTGGGGATTCCGAAAAAAACGTTCCGAGCTTCCGACCAGACTACAGGCCTTGCAAAACCTTTTGGCAAGCGAAACGAATCGGGCAGTGACGTACATCAGCATTTTGCATGAGAGCATGGTTTTAATGGAATTTGTCTGCGGTGACTCTGTTTCAATTATGCTTAATCTCCTCCATGTGGTCTAGCCCCATCGAGAAATGTGGTGAAATTGTACAGCCACTCAGGGGCTGTCTTGAAGCCTCAAAAGTGAACTTTCTCGCAAACGATGCCAGATTGTACACATGAAAACATGCGAAAATCAATTGGTTGTGCCACCCAGCTCAGCTCGGACTAACCCATGACAAGACTCCTTGGGCTTGGCTGAGTGCAGAACAAAAATTTGACGCTAGGTGTAAGCCTCCTTTGGGTTAGCAGCACCATGGCCATCATCCTGGAGTGCAGAAGTGGCTCTGTTTGGTCGGTCCGTCCCTCAAAGGCTGACAAGTCCAAAAGCTACCTCTTTTGAAACGAGGCCAAAGGACAGTCACTGTAAACTTGGAGGGCTCATCATCAGTTCTTGAAAAATTGTCCCGGCCAATGTGTTAACAGGCAGGAGTAGTGTCCCATTCTCGGTGATGAGGGAAAGTGAGAGCTCGCCCATATCATGTTGGAGAAAAACATGAACTGCAAACAACTCAGAGCAGGCTTCACTAGATGTTGACTCATTCCAACTCACACCGCTTGGCTTTTTGCTGCTGCATGCTGTCTCTGACTGGCCCAGTTCAGGTCTGGAAAGAAATGCTCCATCAATTGCCTCGCAAACATACAGGCATTGGGATGCTGCCAGTCTCACTGTACTTGGACTTGGAGGTCACATTTGCAAACTCACCTGTTGCAAACGAAGGCCAAAGTCTCCTGCATACCTGCAAAGAAACATTCAACAAATGAAACAAGAATACATATATATATATAATCAGAAGCTTGACACCAAGAAGCTACTAGGAGCAAAGGGCATCGCTACTAGGAGCAAGAACGCTACTAGGGGCTCCTGGCCATACTACCTTACTACTAGGAGCAAGAAGCTACTAGGGGCTCCTGGCATCGCTACTAGGAGCAAGGACGCTACTAGGAACATAAAATCAGAAGCTTGACACCAAGAACTACTCGGCTTGGCACCTCGATGCCTCTAAGTAGTTCCTCTCGATGGCTTCTTGGCAGAGCTCAGCCAAACCTGCACAGGGAACAAGTGCTTAGCTTGTGGTTTTCTGCTTCCAGTGACTCCACTGCTTATGAATATCACATGCAACCATGACACCAGCCGAGGCCTGGAGAAAGACGATTGGCTTGCAAAACCACCTTGAGCAAAGACGATTTGTGTGCGTGGCTTTGTGTGCTTTGTGTCCTTTCTGTTGATTCTGCTCTTCGTCAAGGTTTGCAAGCTTGCAGTCACTGCGACGTGGCGAGCTTTGTTCCTTACATTGTGTAGCGCTTCCTCCACATTCTCACCTTCAACAACCACAAATCCAGCCTTAACTGGTGCGGGAAAGACTGCCAAACTGCTCAACAGAATTGTCAAATGCCACTTGAAGGGCTGCCAAGTGGCGACGTCAAAAAATTCTCCAATATTTGTGCCTTGTATATTTGCAGGAGCCAATGACTGCGAAACAGCTTGCAAATGGAGATACTTGCAGCCGCAATCAGGGGGACGTTTGCACGCCCAAAAAAGCACTAAGGATGATGAGGGTTCATGAGAGTTGTGGAAATGGACATGTTCAACTGGACCCGTTACTGTAATGCAGTCTGTAAACCACCTGGAATACGTCTGGCGCCTATGCTTGTAGTTTTGGTTGTTTTGCTTTGCCAGGGCTCTATCTAAGGCCTCTAAGTTCCAAGGCTCCAAATATATGATAAATAATTGCGTAAGGATCCGCACATCTGGATTACTCCTTTCCGCACATCCGGATTACTCGTACTTCCAGTGATCATCAGTGGACACATCGCGCAAAAATGGAGTTTGAAAGGTTCTCTTTGCCTCTTGAAGAGCAGAAAGGGCAAGTGGTGACCAGGGTTGAACTAAAGACCTGTTCACCGCAAGGGCGTGCAAAGTAGAGGTAAAAGGCAGCTGCAATCCTCCTCAAGTGATCCGCACTTGCAGCTCAATGTGTCAAAAATGATACTACTGTGGGCGACGTATGTAAATCAGGTGAAGTAATGTGCGGAAAGTAGAAAAAGGGTACAGTAGGGAAGATTGATTGGATGAGAGCGGATGATTAGAAGCTTTGCCAATCGTTTTGCCGCATGAAATGGAATCTGCTCAGGTGAGGTCGGACGCGCGGGACAAAGGGATGGTTTTGTGGGAGTTGAAGTTAGAATGCCCCAACTTGAGGGAGATGGTCTGTCACGCCGCAAAATCTCTGACCCCGAGTCGTTCAATCGTGCTGAATCAACTTCTCAACACAAGCAAAGTGAACGAGTGCAATCAATGCACAAACAGGTTCTAGCATCGCTATGAACTCAGTCCCCCACACCCCCAATACACTGGAATGCACCGGGCAAGCTGGCCAGCGTAAAGAAAAATCTGAAACAAAAGAAACTTGGGACATGGTGCGGCATGTATGTAGCAACCAAAGCATGCAAGGCAGCACGAGAGCATCCAGCAGCTTTTCCGAAAAATAGTTTTTGTGTCTGGAGTTCTCAATCACCTCTGCAGAACTCTGAAGAGCACGTCTTTTGGTAGGTTGGAGGCCATCGCTATTAAAATGGAGGCCATTGCTAGTAGCAACGACTTGCAAGCATCTTCCTTTCCCGATGTTTTTCTTCCTGAGTAGGTTGGAGACCATCGCTAGTAGTACAAGTAGCATCCCAGACCCACCAGCACGAAGCTGCTGAAGAATTGCATGTTGCGCTGCTCGCGGCTAACACCGCCACCCTCCATGAAGTTCAGAGGAACCTGAAGCAAACTAGCTGACTAGCAACTACAAAGTACTCAAAACATATCAAAACTAAAACTATATAACTAAAACCTCAAAACTTACAGTAATCCTTTTCCCTTCCCAGCCTGCATCGAGTGTTCGAGGTGTCGTTGTTCCTGCCAGAGATCAACTCATAGGAGCACATATCAAGGTAATCGGGCACTTGTTCGACTGTCACCCCTATGAGCCATGTTGGCTTCACACTGACACCGCGTTTACGATCTTTCATTCTATAGCCGCTCAAGCGATGAACCCCAAACGCACGCGATTGATAGTGGATAAAAATCCACATCGAATGCACGCTACCAATCCTCAAGCACTAACCATGAACCGACAGCAACTGCAGAGACTGGGTGTGCTTAAAGCTCTCTTTGGTTCTATGCTTGGTGCAGTTTGTCATGGTTGAAAGCAAAGGACAAACTTGAACCGTTGTGAACCCAAACACAAACCTTTTGAGGCTCACAAGCGACAAGCGACCAGCTTCTGAGCGCAACTTATGTAATAGACCGTATGCTCTACAATTTGCGATAAGTGTCTCTAAAACGCTCTAAAGCTCTTCACTCCAACCAAATCAATCAGGCGAAGGGTTCTTCTGCTTTGCAAACCCAGTAGCTACTCATTGGATACTGGTGGCGTACATTAATGTCTCCTCCTCCTACCTCACCCCGGTCGTCTTCTCACGTCCCCTCCAAAAAATGAAATCAATATCTTCTCTTCAGAGTGGCCTCCCAAATCTTGTGTCGCAGCTGATGACCAGCAGTCCGGCACTTGCTGCCTGCATAATAATTCGTAAATTTCTGGCAGAAGGATAAACAATAAATACTGTATGCAAAAATAATCTCTAAAATGTTGGAATGAGCTTGCAGTAAAACGGGTAAAGAAAAGGTCGATGCAAAGCAGTGCCTCTTAGAAATCCAAGAGCAAGTTTTTTGATCGCAAATTGATCCCACTCGGCCTGGCAGTTGCAACAAGACAATTCTGCATGGAGTCAGCCGCTCATCAGGATTCCAACGGCACGTGAGACTTGGACACCAAACAGAAACTTGGAAGCTGGCTGGTAAAAGCCAAGGCGTAGCTGGCACAAAGAGCTCCGCACGTCGACCCAGTTGCTTCTCAGCGACATCGTTCAAAACCGAGTGTTGTAGAGTCATTTTGACCGCTCGAACAAACCATAATCAGACTGTATTCCCAATTCATCTGAATTGTATTGCTCCTCAGGTCACAGGTCCCGCCACTTTGACACTAGCTAGTCATTATGGTCATCCTTGCCAAGAATCAGGAAGGCACTTGTTGAAATAAGACATGGTTGACTCCAGGAACTTCAGATGAAAAATGCACTTCTTCGCAGAAGGTGTTTGCTGTAGTAAGGCTAACCCTGAGGCAAGCTCCAGGTGTTCGTCTTGCCACGTCAGCACTAGGTCAAAGCCCTCAAGAAATGACAAAGCTAAAACATACACAGTGAGGACAATCATAAAGACATGTGTATGCAAAGCATTGATCACACTTGCAAAACTGCCACAGCCTATAAGCCCTAGTGTCTTCATCTGAAGCTAAAGGCAGGTACAAGTATATACTGCGTGCATTTCAGCCAGCTGTGTGATATGTGCCTCTAGGCTCAAAGACTTAACATCAGGCGGCTCTTGCACGACCAGAACCTGAAGTATACAAGATCAGATTCATCCCACGCATGAAAAAGGAGCAGGGCAAAACGGCCGAGTGAGCTGTCATCGGCGACTTGACTTCTGTTTTCCAACAAATGCACAATGCTTCTCGCACTTGTACCTGCGGCGTCGCGTAGTTGTGACACCGCGAGCCAAACAACTCACGTAGGCATAGTCACTGTAGTCACTGTGTGCGCCTGTGAGATCCTATCTTCATCCGTAGCGAGAGCGTGTGTGATTCAAGTCCTGGGAGCTTTCAAGATCTTGCTGGAGACGAGGATCGTCATAACGAGCGTTTTTGCGTCTTCGAAGCTTCACAATCTCTCCCCGGTTTCTTTGTTTCTAGGTTTGAAGGACGTCAAGAATCACGATCAATCAGATCTCGGCAGCCATTTCCGATGCTCGAGAAAGCACATCTCTTGTTGTCAAATCATTATCGTCCTCACCAAGCTGCATATGAGCCACAGTTGATGTTAGAAGAGCTGCCAAGGACTCTGACAAATCTGCAGGCTCTGGTGGGTCTTCCGCTGAGACTGCCACCAGTTTGCGAGAGGCATCCATCAGCCCGGTAGACAGATCTGCGTGTGTCATGTCGTCCCAGGCATCCCCAAGAGAGTCGCGCCTTTTGGCAAAGGCATCTCGAAGCTGGCTGAAGCTTCCGGAAGTTGCTGGTATGTAGAGCGAAGTCATAATTCCAATGCTTTTACTTTGGTCAATGCTCTGCAACGGCAGCCACTCCACCTTACTATTGGAGGAGCCAGCTGCATGCACAAGTGCAACTCTGTGCTGTGGACTGAAGCTAGTCATCAGCACGACCTTCAAAGCACTGGCTTCAAAGCGATCTTCCACCTGGGAAATCAGAAGAGGTGTATTGCACTCGACAGGTAGATGCTGATAGTTGATCAGTTCGTAACAATCACCAACGGTCAGCCTGGGAAGCATGTCAACACCCAGAGAAGCCAGCGTTGGTTCAACGAAACTTACACCCGGTAGAACCTCCACCTTGACGCCACAAAGCGAACTTTGCTTCAGAATCAGCTTTGTGGTGGTTTCGCCAACCCAAGGATCTCCAGGCACAAGATAGAGGATCCTTCCGTGCTTTTGAGCCAGCTCCACGACACGCTTGGAGATATTTCGGTAAAGAAGCTCGAAGGTCTCAGCTTTTTCGTAATAGTCTTCAAACGTTTTAAGCTTCACAGATTCAGGGATAATGCTCAGGGCAGGATGTTGTCCAATTCGAGCATAAACCTCAGAGGAGCTACAAATCTCATCCCAAACTGCACGCGTTAGGTGGCCAGGGCTTCCGGGCCCCAAGCCACCGATTATCACTTTGGGGCTTCCATTGCCTTTGGCCCCTCCAGCTACGCTCGCAAAGTTTTGTGTGAGCAGTGAAAATGGAAATGGCGGAATTGAAATCAGGATCAGAAAACCCATTAGAAGATGTGGAAAGCTTGCCGAGTGCCGCCGCCGCATGACAGGACTTGTCTCGGCAAAGTCCCTCCTGGACTTTGCAGCTCAAGGGTGCTTTTGGTCAAGCAAATGCATTGCACTGATAGTGGGATGTCTTTCAAGCATGCAGAGGGCTGAGGGTTCTTTAAAGTTGAAAGGCCCATGGAACTATGTGACGTTCAGCTTTAGCCCTGAGGGGCGTTGTGCCTACCCTTCAAAAACTCTGGTGATTTGAACAGGCTTCTCAAAGCTTGAAACTCCACGCGGCGGTGATCAGTGGTCATCTCTACTCTCTTGGCAATGGATTCTTTGCGTGAGTTGTGACAAATGCACCTGCCTTTATTGCTTCCGCAGAGATGGGAGGATGCTGCAAGTCAACATCAAGCCAAATCTCCGCCTAGTAGAGTCTCTGCTCCTAGTAGCGATGCCAGGAGCCCCTAGTAGCGTTCTTG